AAAAACGAAATGTTTTACTTCCACAGCGTGGTTTTCACAGTTGATCAATAAATTTCAAAATGGTACATCCTCTATGTAGCTGAAATGACAGTTAAAATCCGGGAGACTAATGGCTAACTCGCTAAACGCATGCGCCAACGTCATCTTCTGTCACCAGATCACAGCGATATCGATTTTGCCACACCAGGTGAAGCTTTACGGCAGCTGACGTACGTTCTACAACAGTCATCAAATGATTCGCTGTTAAAGCACCAACAATTACTGCAAAAATGCTAAACAGTGGACCCGATGAAATTATTCTGCATGGCGATTCCAAAGGGTTACATTTTGTAACCTTTTGAGTACTTATGAGGTATCTAATGGACATATATAACTTGTGTTAAACAGCGACACCCACAGGTTATTGATGTGACTGACTTACAACAAACCAGTAAGAGTGCTATCAACAACCAAACATTTATCACTCCCTATTTCAGCAGGTCTGATATTGTGTATGAATATGAGACTATTTTAAAACATTATATCCCTTTTTCAAGACATACTGTTATATTTGTTAAATTGCTTTACGACTATCTTGACCGGTGGCGCCGTGGCTTAGTTGGTTAAAGCGCCTGTCTAGTAAACAGGAGATCCTGGGTTCGAATCCCAGCGGTGCCTTTTGTGTCGTTAACAAGAGAAATGACCGGTTACTAATAGGTTGAAATTGTTAGGGATCCTCATACATTCAGTCAAAGTGAAAGTGTAATCCAGTATCTAGTAAAGTTATTATAATTTATTCAGAATATGTTTTGTAAAAATATTAATAACAATATAATCAACGAAATATAATTTATTGTAATATTCATTTCAGAACTAAACTATATAAAGCAAACCAGAACCTCCAACAAAGGGTGTAGAAATATCACAAATTTTGATATATTTTTTTTACAATTTTATAACTATAGAAAATAGAATACAAAAACTCTTCACCAAAATAAACAAAACCCAAATTTTGCTCAATAGGTTCATGTGTTCTGTTCTGTAATATTAAACATCAGTTATTAAGAATTTATTTTGAAATTAAGAGCCGTGGCCTACGAAATCTGTGATATATAAGAGTAGTTATATTAATTAAATCGAAATATCCTCCAAACCTAAACGTCTTTTTGTGACATTTCAGATTTGCATCCGGTTCTTGACTAAATTCAGGATCGTTCTACATATAAATAAAATCGGCTTTGGTGTTTCATTTTGGTAATATTTTAGATTTAAAGTATACGTATTAACTTAAATATTGCAAAAACAAAACAGTTGCTTTGCGCTAATAATCATTGCATACATGGAGACGGTAAAATTTTATAAAAGGAAAAGCCTTATTTTGAAGGACTGTCTTCTGATCATACGTCTTTAAACTTCACTCAAGGTTACGATCAGAAGAAACTAACTGCAACTTGTTCAAATCTTTCACCTTTCTTGCGAAACTAGTACTTGAACGGTAAGGATTTTATTTCTATGCAAAATAATTTGAACGTGCACACATCCATTGCATAGCTCGTTTTCGATAAAGTCTTTTAATTAGTTACATGAAATAGCACAGCAGCGGAGCAAAATGCTTTGTCACGTCTTTGTCCATTGCATAATCATTGACAAACGAGAGAAACTTCACTCATATACTTTACGCATTCTTAACTACTGTTTCCACTCCTTCTTTGCATTCTTTACTTCTTCCTGTCTGGCTGTCATTTGTTCAGATGGCAAATGAAGCAAGTCCGTGCCCCTGTGATATTGGTGACCGGATGGAGTATGGAGGACTAGGTCAGGAGCTTCAAATTGGACACATTCAAGCCTATGTGGTCAAACCGTCCACCGTGTCCGACAAGGCTGTTATTGTCATACAAGACATTTATGGATGGCAACTTCCCAACACAAGATACATGGCTGACATGCTGGCTGCCAACGGATACGTGTATGTGAGAATAATAAAGACAGAAGTAATGATGTTTTCTACATAACATCTCAATCTTTACCATAGTATATGTAAAATCGTAAAAAAAAAGGCTAAGCTCAATTGGGTGACAGAATTACTTATGTTCCTGTGAAAGTGAAAGACTAAAGTGTTCTGTTGTTTTACTGTGAGCAGTGCTGTGTGTCCAGACTTCTACGTTGGAAAGGAACCATGGAGTACGTCACATGACTGGTCCAAATTCCAGGAGTGGCTTGAGGACAAAAAGCCGACCAATATTAACAAGTAAATCCACTTTTTTTTTCTGGCTGTGAATTATTTAACAAACCATTTTGGTTGATGTTAATACATGGTGTAATGTAATAAAATGAAGCCTACAAGCGCAAATCTTTAAAAGACATTTGTGCCCATTAAAAGTGCTCTGAATGTCATTACAAATGCAGTACATCATTAGTAAGGACTACTGTTAAAATTGCAATGTTGGTAAATGTCCATACAATGACCTTGAGGGCACCTTCAATGATCATTGTGAAGTTCTATTCAATAAGTTTAACATCTTACTACAGAAAACAATATTTTCGTTCCAGGGAGGTAGATGTTGTGCTGACATTCCTGAAGGAGAAGTGTGGGTCCAAACACATTGGAGCAGTAGGATTCTGCTGGGGAGGAGTTGTCACACATTATTTGGCACTGCTCTATCCAGGGATTAAAGCTGGAGTATCAGTGTATGGTACATAAATATTACACTGTGGTAAATTTAGCTTGATTAGACCAAAAACATACTGTACATTCAGTTGATGACTGTCTGTAATGCTTTCTAGGAATTATCCGTGAGGGAGATGACAGATATTCACTGAAGAGTCCCACACTGTTCATTTTTGGAGAAAATGACCATGTGATCCCACTAGAACAGGTCAGTAGTGTGTATAATTAAGTTTATGCTAAAACCTCATCCTAAACAAAGCATACACTTTGACACTTCATATTTTGAGTAACTGCAAATGTTCTCAATTAACTCAACTGTGTAACTGTTCTGCTGTCCAGGTGACTACTCTTGAAGCCAATCTAAAGGAGAACTGCACAGTGGATTATCAAGTAAAAATCTTTCCTGGTCAGACTCATGGGTTTGTGCACCGCAAAAGAGAGGACGTGAACCCCGAAGACAAACTCAGCATCGAGACGGCCAGAAAAGATATGTTCAACTGGCTGAACAAATATATGTAAAAGGTCATAAACAGAAACATCTTGACTGGACATTAATTCATGTTGGATTATTTTCATCATCAGAAAAAAACCCAAGATGGACATACATTTAAAATCAACATTTGCTATTATACTTTTTGATTGTTAACATTCCTTTGTTGTTTTAAGCCCCACAGATTTGAATCTTTGCAATTTCATGTTATTTTGTTTCTAAACCAGCCAAATACTTTTCTGAGTTTACATTTAATATGTAAGATAAAAAAAGATTAGTTTTTAATACATGAATGAAGTAAAAAAGTATTCATTTGCCCATAGTTAATTAAGTAAGAACAAGAGTCTTGAAATTTTAGCACTTTAATGATGACTTTGATACGACAACAGCGGGGACATTTTGTATCAAATTATAAATAGCAATATGCAGTGCGGTTTTGGACCTGGTGCTCAGGGGAAGTGCCGAAAGCCTCTATGACAGAACACACGTCATTCAGTTTTCCAGAGCACAGCCGAACTTTGATGATGTTCAGGGAAGACTCTAATCCTCGCTCTCTCCCTGGCTTCTGATATCATCGATCTTAAGGATCATCTTAACCACCTGTGTAGCCAGCAAGATCTGTTGCTTCTTGCCGATCAAGGTTTCGATTACATGTTGCTGCTTCATGTCTGTGAAAGAACAAACAAAAGGTGGCTCGGTAAGCTGTCTGATTTGAAAAAGTAATGGAAGAACTTTTTAGATTTGCAATTTAAAATTACCGTTGGTATTGTTCTGCAGACAATCAATGCCTAGGAAATGGTTGTTCTCTTTGACCTGTTTGGCTCTGACTTCTGTCATTGTCTGAATGGGGCTCAGCCCACTGTTCTCAGCCAATGCCATTGGGATAACCTCCAGAGCATCAGCAAATGACCTCATGGCGTACTGCTCCAATGATGGACACTGAAACAAAAACGAGCAGATGTTTAGAGATGATTTGAGCAACAACATGATAATCATTCATATTTAGTACTTCTCACTTTCTCTGCAGCCTCATTGACAGCAAGGGCACATGAAATCTCTGAAGCTCCACCTCCATACACCACACGGTTATCTCTGACAAGGTTGCGAATTACACACAAAGCATCATGGAGCGCACGCTTAGCCTCTTCAATAATCTGTTAACGAGATAAATAAAGTAAGGCACAGGAAACAATAATACTACATATATATATACACAATATTCAATTACAGCCGTGCTTACCATTTTGTTGCCTCCACGAATGAAAATAGTTACAGCCCTGGTGTTTTTACACTCCTGAATGACCAGCATGTGGTCCTTTGTAGTGCCAAAGGAGATCTCTTTAACCACACCTGCTGTACCAAGTTTCTCTGGTGTCAACTCACAGAACCTTGGCACAATGCGACCCCCTGTGGCGATTGCAATCAACTGTGGATGAAAACAACAGAAACTGTACCTTTACACAAACCATCAAGTAGTCCTGCACATCTTGGGGTTAATTGATGCCATATGGCTATAAATCGCATGACTGAGTCAGGCAGCTAAGCAAGTGACAAAGTTTTTTTCCAATAATAATAAGCTGTCATATGACAAATGTCTTGTACCTCAATCTCAGGCCCACCAACCCAGCGCACGGCTGGCAGTTCATTCTGCAGCAGAAGGTGGTTGGCTTCATCATCAAAGCCCCACTGGCAGATCGCCAAATTAGCGCCATTGCTTTTGACCTGAAGGACAAATAAGTATCACTTAATATTAGCAGTGTAAATAGCGGCATTTACAACATTTAGTTGCCATGTCACTAACAGAACAATACCAACCTGCTGGATCATCTCCTCAAACTTTTCCTTTTCATATTTCTGGAGTGCTTTGTAATCTTCCACAGAGGTTACATCCAACTTGTGCTTGGTCTTGGGTTTAGGGGGCTCAAATGGGCAGGTAAGGATAGCAATTTTAACATCTTTAAGAACCTGAGGGTAAAAAAACAAAAACAAATCACTACTTAGTAAATTTAACAAACAGGGGTCCAGCAAACTGTATTGTATTAAACAATAGTAACATTATCAAGGATTTGATCATTTTGATGTATTTGGCTTGAATGTGTTTGTGTTTTCCTTGTATTGTCAAATCTATTATATCCTTTAACAATAACATATCCTTTTGTCTGTACCTTGGGCATCTGAGGATGGCTGAACTCTTTGTCAACCACAACTCCCTTGATGAGCTGTGTGTCCTCAAGCTTGCCTCCCACCTTGCCTTCCATTTTGATAAGCTCAAAGTCAACATCCTTTCTTTCCATATCAGCGACAGTTAGAATGGCATTTACTGCAATCTCTGCCATCTGTCTGTGGCACCGGTTGATACTGGAAGAGACAGTCAACACCAAGTTAAATACAACCCTCATTTAAAAACAAATGTTTTCTTTTTATATTTTCTATTTATTTTCTCTTTCTTTTAAAGACTTCATATTTGTTTAAAAACAAATGACAACTGTATCTCAGATCATTACACTTTGGATCCCAGTGTGGTCATGGCAGTCTGAATGAGTGGTTCTCTGTTTTTTGGATCAAAGGGAAAGGTTTCTGCTATTTTGTCCAGGTGCTCAATGGCAATGTGTGCAGCCTGGTCATAACCATCAGAAATCCTGATGGGATGGATACCGCGATCCAGCAACTGCTCTGCCTCATCGAGAAGAGCCCCAGCCAGCACTAGTGAAACAAAAAAGAAAACCAAAACTATAATGTAACAGTACACTAAGACAAAAAACAGTTACCATATTCACACTTGGAATAAACAAAATAAACCAATCTAGTTCTTTTCATATTTGCTTTCGTTACCAACAACTCCAGTGGTTCCATCACCAATCTCATCATCTTGGGACTTTGACAGTTCCACCATAAGTTTGGCAATTTGATGGTCCACATCCATCATGGTGAGAATAGTGGCACCATCATTGGTGACAGTGACCTCACCATCCTTGTCAACCATCATCTTGTCAAGACCTGCATGAAAAATATTGTTCAGCACGGATTATTGTTGTTAATTTTGTAACAATAACTTGTCTGAACTACAACGCTGACGGTCCTTCAGGTATCTATACTTACCATTAGGTCCCAAAGATGTTTTAAGCGTTGACGCAACTGCCTTAGCTGCCATAATGTGAGACTGCAAAAGACAAATATTTCAATTAGCTCATTCTGAGTAACGGTGCTTACATCGTCCGTGACAATGCGAAACATTAGTGGTTGCCATCTATTATATTGTTCAAGAACAGTTAGGGCCTCCATAGAGGTAACACCCCTATTCCATCAAAAAGCACATGGGCCGCACGTTAGCATGACTGGCTAATCTCGCCATTGACTAACCTAAAACGACACAGATTTACATTAACATTTAACTACTGGTTTATCCATTTATTTTAAATGCACCATTATTTAGCATGTCATCTCAACAATTTGAACAAAAAAGTGACAGGCAACTGGTGATAAATTAGCAACACGCTAACAAACATGGTTAGAACCGCCATTGTACCTTCAATGCTTCTATGCCCGATAGCCGTGTCTTCTTGTCTTGGTCCTTAATGATGATAAAAGGCCTCCCATACTCATCAAAAGCGAGCGTCCCCAAACTGGACATGTTGAACGAGTAGATAAGACACCTTAAAGTGTTTAACTGATGAAATTAAGACTTTAAGGTGTATATGTCTGGAGTGAGGCTTTGTTGAGAGCCGCACGGGTCTGCCGGCGACTTCTGGAAGGATCCACGGGAGGCGAGGGCGGGACCAAGTGGCTTAAAAAAAAATCATTGTTTAACAATTACTCAATTGTCAATTGTATCCTACACATAAACGTCAATAGTGCCATAAACAGAACACCACGGACGTTTTATTTTAACATTAACTTACATATATTTCCAAAACAGATGATGTAAAGTGCAAGTGTTAAAATGGTTTCCCCCAATCACGTTCAAGCGCATTAATCGTGTTCTCGCGAGATACCCTCTGTTGATAAAATACAATCTTAAAGAATTGACTGGAGGACGTTGCTACTACAAAAGGTACAAATTTAACTAATTCTACTTTATATGTTCTATAATTTGCTGATGTAATTTTAATATTTTATGTAAAATGGTCGCCGTTCGGTACTTTTTCCGATTGAAACGAATAAACAAAGATTAGTTACGGCAAACTCTCAGTTGTCCTGTTTCATACACTGCTTCTAATGACTATTATCTAACGACACACCAGTCTACGCTGTCATATCTAGAACCTGTCTTTGATTGTGTTGTCAAAGAGTAACATGAGTAAAACCACGTGCAGTACAGTGTAATGACATAAGGACTCTGTTTTAGCGTCACAAACTGACGCAACGTCCGGATATTTAATGGTGGTGTTCAGGGGAGTCTATTTTTATAAAACCTGGAAAGTTATTTGGTGTCAGCCTGTAAATTTTTATAGGTAAGGATAAATAATTATAAAACGGTAATGATGAAAGCGTTTATTAAAGCATTTGCTCAATTTGTTGTCGATACATTTCGTAAAGTGTTAGTAAACGTGCATGGCTAAACATTGAAGTGATTGTAACATCTAAGTACTATAGTTGTACTGTAGTTACTATAACTATTCCAGACATGAAGTAAAACCCTAAAGTAAAACCCTAAAGTAAACACGAGCACCAACATTCTCGACGTGTTCTGCAAACTTTAACCCCGATGTGAAACTTTGAGGTAAGTATTTATTAAGTATGCATGAATTCGTTTTAATTGTTTTCATGGTAAAAAAAACACATTTTTTTAAAAATAATTTGCATAAATGTTAAGTGCAACAATTTGGTTCCTTATTACCAGGTTACAACTAAATGTTAACCTGATAAGAGTGCACCTCCAGGAGTATTACTTGTCAGTAGTATTTGCTTCTGTTTTAAACTGATGTTTTGTAGACATCAATATCTAAATTTTGAAATTGAAATCCAAAAGTGTATTGCTTTATGTTAAAATAAAATCTTTTAAAAGAGAAAGGAACTAACTTTCTGAAAATCCAAGTTATAAAATGTAGTGAAAGTGTCATTAAAATATTGCTGGGTGTAACCAATATTTAGATCTTTAATATTCTTTTGTCTCAAAATGGTTGGCTATAATAAACAGTTTTATCTTGACGTTTTAGTATGCCCTGTGAAGTGCAACCACGGTTCCTGGTTCTTTATGGGTCTCAGAAAGGCCAAGCCCAGTCCATAGCAGAGGGGATAGCAGAGGACGCCCAGGATAACGGGCTGGTTGCTGAGCTCAAATGCTTAAATCAGACCGATGAGGTATCAGTTAGACATATTGCTAGTCAGTTATCTGACCTTCTGTGAGGATTTGCTGTTGGACTGTAGAGCTTTATTATTATTAATCAAATGACTGGTCCCAGTTTAATTTAGAGAAAGAAAATGCCCCAGTGGTCTTCATTGTGTCCACTACTGGAGACGGGGAACCGCCAGACAATGCCCTCAAATTTGTAAAGGACATCAAGACGAAGACCTTCTCCACTGACCACTATAAACACCTTTGTTATGCACTTCTAGGTAAATTCTACTCATTGATATGCTCTATATGTACAGAATTGATTGTTATAGTAAAGCATTACATGACATTTCTTTAAAATCTGCTTGAACTGACGTTACTGACGTGAGAATCTTTATCTTCTGACTCCAGCTTTAGGAGACACAAATTACGCTAATTTCTGCAACTGTGGGAAGACAATAGAGCGTCCAGCCGTGCTCAATTTTAGTTTATTTTTCTGGACCAAACCATGTTACAAACATTTTATTTAGACATTTCATTTTTATTTTTTATAATATACGACAGGCTATGCAGATGATGGTGTAGGGTAAGTTTTGCAGAGGTATCAAGCATTTAAACCTCCAAAATTCTCTGCGTTCACTTGATTACAGCAGTCGTGATTTGCCTTTTTTCTAGACTAGAAGTAGTTGTTGACCCCTGGCTTGAAGGACTGTGGAAGGCCATCAAAGGTGCTCTGTCCAAAATGGCTTCCAATTGGACGTCTCCCATGAAAGAGGATGCAGCAACTTCACCCAACAAAATTTTTGATTCATGCACATCTGAAATCCAACTTAACCTCCTCAGTCTTAGTGACCCCCAGTCCTGTGACCCAATTCAAACATCTTCTGACACAGACATAAAATATGCACCTCCTGCTTTATCATCTGAGCCTCCTACACAGACTGCTATTTCAGTTCCTAGCACAGGTCCTCCTGTAGGTAACTGTGGTATCGAGTCAGTGAAGACACAGACAGGTCATGCTGGTGATCCACAGGAAGGGTCCCTTACCCACTCACTGCCTCCACTGTCTGAGTCTTCTCTGAATGTCCCTGCTCTGCCTCCTCCCTACCTGGACGTGTCTCTTGAGGATGTGGACACAATGAAAGAGGTGAGGACCTTGTGCTGCTACAAATGACATTGTTTCTCTCATACCTAACCTCATATGTCTTTTTATTCTTTGCAGATTGCTGGTCCATTAAACAGTGAAAGTGTCTGTAAGGTTCCCATATGCAGAGCAGTACAGCTAACCAGAGGAGATTCAGTCAAAACAGCTCTTCTTCTAGAGTTGGACATCACTGTAGGTTTTGACAGGATGTGTTAATTATCTACTCCTGTAATGAAAGTAGACATCAAAATTGAATTGCAGGCAAAACTTGAGCTGGTTTAACTTCATCCTCAGGCTCACACAACCTTGGCCTATGAACCAGGAGACTCGTTTGATGTTTTCTGCCCAAACAGAGACACAGAAGTAGAGGAGATACTGAGTAAACTGGGACTCAGAGAAAAGAGAAACCACAGTGTACATGTTTCTCTGAAAAAGGACACAAAGAAAAGAGGTTATTATCATGTTATCATCAGTGTCAAATGCTCTTTTTCAAACAGTTTTAATGTAGCTTTAATTACACTGCTCTGACATCTGACGTTATGCAATGAAATCACATTGTAAAGAGACAGATAAAGTTCTAATTTCTTGTGTTCTCTGGATGCAGGTGCCCAGGTGCCATCGTACATCCCTCAGAATATTTCGTTGCTGACCTTGCTTACATGGTGCCTAGAGATCAGAAGTGTCCCTAAAAAGGTAGGACACACTTTAAAACACTGAATTTTTAAAACTTCTTGGCACACAACGTTATAATTTATTTTGTCTGAATAATAAGAGGCCAAGTAAGGAATGTTTTTGTCCTCCTGCCTTAAGTGTTTTAAAGTGATTCCAATCTCTATTTCTTTCCAGAAACTCTTGTTTTTGCAAGCTGAAAGAGCACTTTAGTACTGAAATAATGTGTCAAAATTTTGTTTAAAGTAGACTGATGTGAAATAAGCTCTGATAGAACTAAAGTTACTGTATGTTGTCCATGGCCTTTTTCATTTGTGGCTCACAGTGACAAAGCTTTGCAAGGCTTTTACTGTACACGTTTGCAGCTTTTTTTACGCAGTGGTTTTACAAGGTGGAAAAATGTCCTGAAGGTCTTGTGTATTTTCTAAATGCCACCTTCTAAAGATTTTTGCTGATTACAATGTTTTACAGACTGAGTTTTTTTTAATGAGTTAAATTTATTATTTACTTAAAAAAAATCATAATTAAAATGGAAATATAATTATTTCCCTCAGGCAGTGCACTTAAAAAACCAAAAAAATGAATGCAGCCTGCATATATATGACACATTTATAATATTATAACCAAAACATAATGACATATTATATTACCATATATTCAGTAGGAGAGTTTATTAAAAATGTTAAGAAATATGACTGGAACAAAAATAAAATATTTTTTCCCACTATATGTTCCTGTTGATTTTAAAATATACACTTTTCTGACATTTAAAAGTCTGTGTACCAGCTTTTATCGTCCAGGCTCTTTCTGTTTATAAAACCTGTTGTTGGTCTTTTTTTCCCCCTGCTGTCTTATTAAGTCACCTCACAAAAATTGATTGCTTCAGGTCACAGTGTTGTCTACAGACTTACAAGGCAGTATAAGCGTTTTTATGTTCCAACGCCTGTTGTTGTATTTGGAGCAGTTAATCTGTTTTACAAAACCATTTACAACACCTATAAATTTGAAAACTCATGATTTTACAGGAGAGTGCAAGATAATAACCTCTTAGGAAAAACAATTCCAAATAACAGAAGCAACAGCATTATTATATACGAGTGGACATACTGTACTTGCAGGCAGTTACTTACCTGTTCTGCTGAGACAAATAAAAAAAAAATCACATATGTATGTATTATATGTATATATATATATCACATATATATTTATATTACATATATATATTACATATATATATATTTAAATGACTGATCATTTCCGAACATTCTGACATTCACAGTCATGGTAGTTTGGTACTAGTTTAATCCTAGTGAAGTGCAGTCTGCACTGGATGGATTAGAAGCTGATGGTAATAATTCTTTTAGTACCAGCTTTAAGAATATGCCCCTAATCTTTGCTCATGTGCTCTTATTTCCTGTAATGAATCACTGGAATTCACCAGAGCATTTGGCTTGACAAATATTTAGAGATTCTTATTACCCTGTTGGATTGATTAATGGCTGCAGAACAAAGTTCTCTCAAACTCCTAATGTTCAGCAGCGGCTGCATCTTAATAATTCACCAGGAAGCCCCGTTAATCTTATTATTGAAATGACTGCCGACAAAAACAAAGAAAAACTGATATTAATTAAATGTCACTTTCACGGTGTCTTGTCCTCTGCAGATTTTGCATATTAATTGTTTTTGAGTAATTTGAGTCTTTCTCTCCACTGATTTTCCTATAGATTTAAATGCATTTAAAAACTAATTGACATTTTTTTACGCAGGCAGAAATCACAAGGACTCCCTGGTTCATTTATTTAAAAACCCTACAAAGACTGAGCTTTTATGGCTTGTGCAGAGTCTGGCACTGAGTTTTTTTGTCCTGCAGATAATTTATAACCTGATATATATTTTTTTTATATTGGTGTACGGCCACCTGAATAAGCAACTTCAAATACAATTTCTCTTTCTGTCAGGCATTTCTACGAGCGCTCGTGGAGCATACAGGGGACAGTGTGCAGCGCAGGAGACTGCAGGAGCTCTGCAGCAAACAAGGCACCGCAGATTACAATCTGTATGTGAGAGACCCGAGCCTCAGCACTCTGGAGCTTCTCACTGCTTTTCCATCCTGCCTGCCTCCCCTCAGCCTCCTCATAGGTCAGAATCAATGCCGGTATTTCACCTAATCTGCCTGTCACAGAGTCTATACTTTATTGAATCCATACCAATTACTGTTATTGGGTAGACATTAGGGCACAAACAAAGTCAAGAACATAAGGCTTAAAATAACAGACAACTGCAGTAAATAATATAAATATATAAATATAATTCCTGGATTTTTTAATTTAATATAAAATGTAAGTAAAGTGACAGACATACAAGTCTAATTTGAACAGTACCAATTATTACTACTGTTAAAGTCAACCAGGTCACATCAGGTCTGCCTTGTTCATTCAGTTGTCCGGGCTGTTTTGACCATTTGTAACCAGTAGGAGTCACTGTAGCTCTAGTAAAAGATTCTTGAAGGGTGAGTTTGTGAGTACTTTATACTGAATAGTTAGTGGGTTTATGTCCACGGACTCCCCAAAGAGCAGTTTCCTTGTCTAAAGTCCATGTTGTTCCCATATTTTTTTTCACTGACTGTAACAACGCTGCTGTAGCGTTATGTCCATTTCCTCACTGTTTGATGACCAAACCTTCCTCTAAAAACACGGTCTTTTTCTCTCTGGTGTACCATCCACGTCATCCCTGCCATGTCCCATCAGGCCAGCTGTTTGGGTACAAACTAATATTTTCTCTCTCAGCTCATTGAGATCGTTGGCTCTTCATTCACTGCAAAGCTAATAAGCTTTGACTGGAACTTACCAGAGAGTGAAGTTATTTGGCTCCGACTTCACAGTACAAGTGGAGATGTCCTCCAAAAACAGCTGTGTCACAGTTCTTGGTCTAACCCAGTGTCAGTTATTTTCAGCTTTCTTGTCAACCGCAGCATCTTTTTCAGTGGTGAACCAATGCAGAAATTGGCAATCGGACCAAAAAAAAGAAAAGAAAAAAATGCAGCTATAGATGCTTTCTGGGGCAACAGCTGTTATTTGGAGGATGTTTACTGGTGAGCCGATGTGCATTGCAAGGACAAAAGCACACGGGGTCAGCATGGGTTAAAGGGTAATGGTCTGCTCTGGCTCAGTGTGTCACTGTTAAAGTGTACTGCTGTGCTTTTTTGCACCGTTTTTTGGTTCATTACCCTGACCGAAGGGAAGGTGTTTGCTGATCGCAGTTTGTTCCGCATTAGACTAACTATAAATAATGAGGAGAGACACAGGATGTCCAGAGCCAAATGTCTTTGGCCAAGTGCAGACAGTGTATAAAAGAAAAACCTGAGTGTAAATTGAGAGAGATACCTGCCTCTTACACTCAGCTCTGTTGTTGTTGTGCTCCATTATTTCATATTGTCTGGCAGATAAAAAAAAGTTTGAGGTCGTAACCCGAGGGAAACGAACGCTGCCCTTGAGCATCTTTTTCAATTTACACTGCTGCAGAGCTCAAACAAAATTGTATCAGTGTGCACTTTTTTTAACCTTAATTGTGACCTGCGGAAAAGAGAAAACTTAACTAAAGAGAACAGAGTCCCGAGATGTCAGAGCTTCTTCTCTCTACTCTCTCTAGAGAAGCATGAAACATAAAACCAAATGTCCTTGCCATTTAGCACATGCAGCACATATATTCTCCTGTTTTATTAATTTACAGTATTGTCAACTGTATTGACAGAAAAATTATGTTTAAAATAATAGTACTTTAATGCTAAAAAAGAAAGCAAAACACACAAAGAAGTATTTTCAATACCCTAACACTAACAACCTCTTTAATTTCACCTGCAGTCTTAGAAACAATCCATCTAAAGATGTATAACTGCTGTGCTCAACTGTGTTGCTAACTCATTTTTTTGCCCTCCACTAAAACGCTTACAAATCCTGACATGGACTTTTGACATGGAATAGATTATATTCAGTGCTGCATGATCAATGATACCTGCACAAATGATCTTTTCTGAAAAACACAGCAGCGACCCTGAGACGGAAACATTTTTTTTCTCCATTTTGAAAATTCACAGTTTTAAAGCATATCCTGCAGCCACTGACTGTAACAAAGTCAGGTCTGCACTCAAAAGGCTGTAAAAGTGATATATCCTTTGTATCTTGCAGCAGTGTCGTGATGGTGCAGTGATGTGAGGTGATGGATTTATTGTCCTGTGCTTAAGACGTGCACTGTCTTTGTGATAGAAAACCAGTGACCGGAGCAGCGTGGGCTTTGAGCGGGATGATCTTAAGAGTGTGACACACTCTCAAACCGAGAGGTTTATGTTTTAAAATTACAGAACACACTTTGCCGTATCCGCAGCTGTTTATGCCGTGCCCCTTTAAGAAAATGCAGTTAAAAAAAGTCCTGTTAATTTATAAAGATAGCGGATATAAAAAGGTCCCAGCGTGTCAGTACAAGTATATTGATTAAATCCAAGCAAGGCCAGTCTGTTAATTTATTTCTCCTAATAAAATTTCTGCCCTACATTCGAATTTTCATGCCTAAACAAAAAGCCTGCTTCATTACAGCTGGATAGTTATCATTTTAATTGAGCTAACATGAATGAACAATTTTTTATCGACTAATTCTTTGTCTTATGAATAATATGAATCCTAATTTAATTTGTATGAAAAGCTAAAAATGTACTTTTGCCCCCATGATTTTTTAATTTTATCTGTGTTTGGCTTAAAGAATGTCTTTGTAGGGCAGATGGAATTTTGAAATGTTATTTTCTGAAGAGAATTTTGCCCAAAGGTAATTTTAAGAAAACTTTAAAAGACATTTATTGTACGTAAAATGTTAGTTATTTAGGGACATAAATCAAATTTTAAAAAAGTGATACGATTAAACATGAGGTCTTTTGTAATAATTAAATAATAATGAGTATTTCTTAGCTTTCAGAGCAAATATGTATAAAGTGAAAAACAAAGAGAACACCTTATAAACACTTTAAATCTATTTGTTAAACATTTAAACACAAGTACCTGTGACAAAGGCAAGTGTTTCGACTCCCCATTCTTCCCCCCTTTTTTTCAAAGTGTAGGAACTGAGTATACATTACTGAAGCTTTACAGGTGGGACTTCTGCTCTTTTTCACTGTGTAAACCAAATTTAGCAGATCCAAAGTCCCTGGTCACTGCTGTCTGATATTCTTTTTCTTTTTCTGTGCACTGCTGCAGTCAGGCCTGAAAGCACACACACACAAAGGCGTCATGGCTGCTGTACACATACCTTAACATCTGTGGTTTTCTTACCATTAAATTACCATTTAAGACAAAACTATACCAACTTTTTTTTAGCAAAGGGGTTTGTGATTTTCTAGTCAATTTAATAAAATAATAGTTCTGTGAAGCACTTGCCAATGTATAAGCAATAGATAATGGATGGATAGATAGAAATAATAATTTTTAGACCAATTAGGTAAAATGTGACACCTACTGTATGTACCAGGGTACAGTGATTGGGAATCCCTAGTATTGGTACTGAGTAAATAAAACATACACAAACCATAATTTAGAAGGGTTAAAACCTCTGCATTGTCTTAGCTTATTTTGTAAACACAGGTCACATTTAGTCTGTTACCAACCGTACTGATAACACCAGATACTTAGCACAAACACCCAGTGTGTGTGAGCTTCTGGGTCAGTCGTATTTGGACAGCGGTGGTGGCGATCCATATTGGAAGTCAGTTCCGTCTGACGACTTTTGGCTTTTAATACAACCCGCAGCAACAGCAGGCAGAGCTGGGACTAATTAACACAGTCTGGGTAATTTATATTGACACCTTGGTCTCAGCAGCTTTCTTCAAGCACCTCTGGAGAGTTTGGAGAATAAAACTTAGCAACAAAAAGTTCTACTAAAACTCTCTAGTATTAAATATATGCATTGTAATGTTAAGCCCAAGCAGCAACATATGCATTTACATTCTCATTAGGTTACAACAAAGTTACAGCTGTATTTGTTACGTAAATTAACCATAAGCATGCTGCCTTGCAAGCAAAAAGCACAGTGAGTCCAGGGTTTGATTTACAGAGGAACCGCATATCCGTAATGCCTCCCCTTCTAGTAAGTCACATTAGATAAATGTGTGCAAAATGCATTATATATTTATTAAAAAAATAAACAAACAGAATCTTAAATGATTTGTTTTAAGGATTAGGGTTAGGGTTGTTTAAGGAACTGCCCAATTGGAATGTTTGGTATGCCCTAAACACTGATCAAGCCACCCCATTACCAGTATATTTCTACTTTTAATATCAAAATAAATGTTTGTGTCTCTAATATGAGAAGACACTCAGAGTGACATGTTTCTGGTCAAAGTTCTTCCTGATCGTCTTTAAGTGATTCAAACATCACCTTATTTTTAAAACCTCAACACGAAGAGATGAAATGGACCTCAAAGTGTGGAGCTGCCTCACTCGCACCTTAGGCTGTTAAGATGTCAAAGGAATCTACAAATAGTGGAGGGAGAGCAGATTCGCTCCAGCTGTTTGTCTTTCCGAGCAATTTAGCTGAGGCATGTGATATTGTTCAGCCTCAGCTGCTGCAGCCTAACTTTCCCAGGGTTCATCTGTCACTAAAATACAAATAAAAAAGTAAGAGAGTGCACGTCAGGCACATCCCCTCAACTCTCAATCACTTCTAATAGTCGGTGGCGGTCACAGCGTTGAAAACCCTATTGCTACAGCGTCAAAAGTTTTCTCCAACTCTCTTCTATAATTCGTCTCGTTTCTTTTGACGTCTCCCCATGGTGGCAGTGCACCACACATATTACCCAAAAGAGGGCACCTTCATGGCTGGCATTGAAATAAGGTCTGCATAAGCAATCTGTTTCCTAGTGGCTTCACATCTGGACACTTGGGATTCCATAACCCTGAGTTTGTAATTTCATAAATATAGAAGTGTGTCCTAGAAACAAGTAACCTGGGTGGGGGCGGCGGGGGATGGATTGGTCGCTGGGACGTCTCGATGGGCTGAGATGACTTTCTCTTGTCTTTTTTTGTTTCTTCTCCTGTCCGAGGTGTCTGTGTAACAGAATCTTAGTCAGACATCAGGTAATTGACAGCTGTGCTTGCCTTTCAGAGCATTTGCCGAAACTGCAGCCCAGGCCTTATTCAGCATCCAGGTAAGGTGACAGCAAAACAAGAGTGGAAGGTTACTTTTTTTTGTACTGCATACAATTTGTGCTATTACAGCATTGTCTAAATGCAATCACAGGTCCTCAAGAGTATATAGTGTGTCCTATTTTTAGCATGGGGTTCCTATTGGTGCTTCCTATCTAGGAAATAAGCACGCATATGTTTGAAAAAAATGTTAACTTTTTATTTTCTGTATTTGAAAAACACATGAGCCAGACTGCTGATGCAGTGAATTCTTTTAGAAATCCTCCTGGAAAAAATACTCCCACCTTTATTTAATGTTAAATTTAAGTCACTGCTACTTGAAGGTGCTGTCAGTGAGGAAGTATGTGATAAATGGCTTTATATTTTGACATCTCCCATCTCATGACAGGAGACATTTTGTGCCAAAGTTGATTTATTTCCCGTCTTCTGTCAGTTCTTATGGAGACGCAAGGCAGTGTGATACTCCTCAGAGAAGACTCCCAACACAAACCGTCGGCCGTGTGAGAGTCCTGTGATATATTTTACTCCTACAGTTTGTTTATTGTTTGTTTATTACATAGCGAAGGAGCAAAATATATCAAGAGAGCTGGAGAGTACATGATGCAATTTATATTGATAGTGCAGCTATTGGCAGCTGAGAATTACACTGCGATCCACTGGAGATTTGCTGTTTTGCAAACAGCTCTATAAACTATCTGACATTTCACAGCTTTTTGTTTCTTACACAAACATCCAAGGTGCTTAAGGACTTTTATCAGTTTTAGCACGTTAGCGCTAACTATAGAAATTTAGGAAAGTGGTCAGAAAAGACGTGCTTACAAAAACGTTCTGAAAGAACTTAAGAAATACTCTCACCGTTGAGAGCACCTCCTGTTCAGCACTCCTTTTTCAAAAAGCTTGGCTCACACTTCTTATACTTGCTGTGATGTTAACTAGTACTTAGTACATACTTATAGCCTGTTTGGACATAAGTATCTAGAAGAAGTATCTATATAAATGAACTCTCTTCCTCACAGCTTTCACCACTCGACCCTGTTTGTGTCGGATGTTTGTTCAGGAATACAGAGGTTTATTCCTTCCTAAGCTCATTGATTGGGAAGGAGAATTGTAAATGTTGTGTTGCCTTTAGCTAGTTGTGCTTAGTTTAAATAGACCAGTGTGCTCCTTCCTTTTTTCCTCCACTCAGCCCGCCATTGATTTGCACTTCCTGTTAAGCTACTGCCCATTAGGTTTGCTTTAAGGCACGCATGGAACAGCATCATCTCACCAAATGTCAAAACTTCTCCTCCCCCCTCATTAGTCCCCCACTTAGCTGCATGTGTGTGTGTGCACACCCAGAGATGGAGAACAGACAGGAGGGATAGTGACTGTAGTTTATCAGATGGTGCAGAAACATTAGAGGCCTACATTATTGATGCTGTGGTCAACAGAGGTCTCCAGTGGCCCACAGGAACTGCAGAGTGAAGGATGAGTGAGAGCTTCAGCCAAGAGAGAAGACGGAGGATGGAGGAGAGACATTCTTATTGAAAAAAAAGGACAGAGGGAAAGTTCATTTTCCCCCTCCTCCCTTTTCCTTCTCCCAGCAGGGTTAGGAAGAGATTGAAGCTGATATTATTGTGTAGATCAGACATTCCTCAACCAGGGAAACTTTCTTAATCCACAAGGAAACAAATTAATCCACATGTTCAAGATGAGTGGGAATATATATATATAAAAAAATCAAGAAGTGTAGGTGTGGAGTAAGTAAGATATTCTTTGTTGTTTGTTGTTTGTCAAAAGCTATGAGCTATAAATGGTTGACTGCACTGTGTCTCTTACCAACCAGAGTTACATGTGGTTGAAAAAAACAAACCTTACTGGTAGTATTTTTTTTCTGTTGGATGCGTCTGATTTAAAGCAATTATGAACAAAAATAACTCAAACAGAGATTTTAATGTTAATATCAGAATAGCAACAGCAAATAAACTACAGCATTAATCAACAAACCCTTTTGAGAGTCACACTTTCTAATTCTAATATTTCTTTTTAATTAAAAAATGTTCTGTAGTTGTCATCCTAACAATCATTATTTATTTGCACCTGAATTTCAACAAAATATCTTTTTTCATCACATATTTTAATTGAATTCCATCTGTTCAAATGGTAATGTCTTTAACAAGGCAGAGCCACTTTTGAAATCTTAAATCTATTAAAAATATGAAGAGAAATGTGACTTGAAAAATATATTGCAGCACGGATCCAAATCACATTATCTCACAATTCACACAATTATTCTTTAACATCATATAAAGTACGTAGAAGTGTTGATGATTTATTTAAGCCTTTGAACAAATATCACAAAAGAGAAGATTTGCACACCTCCTTTCTAATTTAGCAAACATCAAACTCATCGGCAGCCGCGATTGCCCCGATTGTTTATTTGTTATGTCTGCGTGTGTTCCCGTCGCTTTGTTCAGCTGCTCAAATGTGGAAATTTTATCGATGTGATGTTTGTGTGAATTATTTGTAGTGTCGTTGTCTTGTCCTGAAAATTTATCCTTCCTCGTAACTCTCCTCCCTCCCTCAACCCATCTGCTCTCCCCTGCCTTTCTGTATTTCACTCACTTTCACACTTCATCTCTGTGAATCTCCCCTCTTGTCGCTGTCTGTTTATGTCTCTCTGTCTCTTACACAAATACAAACACACACATGCTGCATACTGCTGTTACCCATTCCCTGCCTTTGTCTGTCTAACACTCGCTGTGGTCTCATCCCTGCAGCTCTCGCCTTAAGCACCCAGGAAAGCTGCTTTTTGTCTTCAATGTGGTCGACTTCCCAGAATGCACTGGGAGATGGGCAGGAAAGCGAGGCTTGTGTACTGGCTGGCTGTTTGACCTCATCAATCGTGGCCTGGATTTCCCTGGGAGGGTTGAGCGCAGTGGCAGCCTGACTCTGCCTATGGTAATGAGAAGGATGGAAAATAGAATGTGCAAATATGTGAGCTCCTGGTCGACTTATACATGTTTCTAAGAAGTTCATTTGCATGTACAGGTGCTCCTACAGCTGTATCTCTACGGCTAACACAATACATCGCCTTTACTTTGTTTCATTCTAAATTGGTGAAATCTCAAGAGCTGGACTTCCTGTTCTGCCCATATGGATAAAATCACATGAGAAAACAAATTGGCAAAAAACAAAATAACCATTTTAATTTCCTCATATTTTCAAGCCATATTTGAGTTTTTCTGGAAGCTTAGTTACATACACAAGTCACAAAACCTTTCAAAAGCTCTGTACTGCTGCAGTGTGGTTGATTAGGAAAAAAAAAATCAAATTAAAGCGGGCAAATCCTCTCTACAACAGTCTCCATGGATTCTAGTTGAAGCTCATAAGTTTTCTCATTAGTACGTCTTGGTATATTTAAGCCAATCCATTAATAGATTGTTAGGCCCGCAGTGGTTTCACAGTATTGTTGTAATTACGTTCATTATTTAAATGCCACCTAATGGCTTCTGACCTCAGGTCCACGTGAGTCTGAGATCCAACGGTTCTTTTCGGCCCCCGTCTGATCTGACGGTGCCCTTCATCATGGTCGGACCAGGCACAGGAGTGGCCCCCTTTATTGGTTTCCTCCAGCAAAGGTATGGCAAGTTCACAATATCCTGTTATCTCACACTGTATTGTTTTTCAAATGGTGGGTCTTGAAGATTAAAAACTTGGTCAATTGTATGTCAAGTTTGAGAGGAGATTTGCAGCAAGACACTAAAGGTTTTTGCCCTTTTGGCCTAAATGGAGGTTTGTTTCTGTACCAGATAGAAGCACATTAAGAGTATTGTTGGTAGTATTTGTTGGTCAGAAAGTTTGACAGGGAGTAAAAGATAAAATAAAACTTTTACTGGTAACTGGGAAGAAAACTTGTTTGGGATTAAATACCCATTTAGCCTGACTGACGAAATGTCTGTCCAAATTCAGAGTACTACGTCATTCAGAGATTCATATTCAGAGATTCATATTCAGCGATTCATTTCAGGCCCCTTCATCACTGTTATGACAAACAGCACTAAACACTGTCTCTTACACCACAAAAAGTATGAAGTCAAAATAAAAATCTTCTGTTTTTTATGTTTTTATCAGAGTTTTTATCCGTCTCTGTAGAATTCTAGGGGAAATCTTTATTTTTTAACCAGGTCATGACCTGTATCTTTGCTTTGTATAAAGACTTTCATTTTAAGAAAAAGAAAAAATCCCACAGAGAGAGATCAGAACCTGCTTCAAAGCCTCAATCAATTTAACTGTTTTATATTCAGGTTTGGATGAAATTGAATGTTTGCCCTGATTTCAAAATAGCTATTTTTTAATGTTAAGATTTTGGTCATCTGTAGCTACCCTGGGATGTAGATGTAGCATGTTTTAAACACAAAAACTCCCCAAATGTGTCCCATCAGTGAACTGTGTGACACTCATTAATCCACCTGCACCTGCTGCACTGAATATTCATAATGTTTGAGCAAAATGTGTGGACTGTACAATGCTGGTGGATATTTTCAAGAAAATCTGCACAGGTGAACAAATAAAACTTGCTGAGAGTCGCCTTGAAACTCAATGACACGTGCGGCCTATGAAGAGCAGCTTAATTAAAACGGCAAGGTCTGTGATGGTGTCAAGGCTTATTACAAATGCTATGCTCATCTCAAAAGTAAAGAGAGAGAAGAGGCCGTCTCCACGGTCAGGCATGGTTCTGATGATAATTACTGAGTAGAGAAATCAAAGCAGCACCTTGTTTGAAACAGTAGGTCCATTAGGTGGTTGCATTGTTATCATTGCTTGTAATCGCAGATAAGCTGTTTTTAAGGGTTTTTTTTTTAATTGTGGGTTGAACAAATATTTCCTGACTCTGTGGATATATCTTGGAAAATTAACGTGACCCAAGTCTCTCCCTATCAAGGCTGAAATCCATTTGTCGAAGCAGACCCATACTCACTATGACTCGTCAGAAAGCCGAGTGAACCCTTTTTAGTCAGACTGACATGTCTGACTCGTGGGCGGCTTTGTATAAATGAGGTTGCGCCCCCGTCAGCTCCAATTGTCTCCGAATCCCCCAAACGTCCATTCTGTTGTGGCGGGTGGTACCGGCTAGTGATTGCTCTGAGAGGTGACACGGTTCTAGCTGAAGCGATGGCTGTGGTAAATTGTCTGAGGAGGGTCTACTGGGGCGGGTGGTGCAGTTTTTTTTCTTATGGTCTCCTGAATGCTGAGGCTTTAAGGATATCACAGGCTTTTGGACACCACCTGCGCAGAGACCTGTCTTTTTTTTAGATGAAGGTCGAGCCAGAGGGCCAGCAGCCTTGTTGAGGATGTGACACATACCTGGAAGTCCAACTTTGATCATGGAAGTGCTGTTGAACACAGCACCTGGTACAAAGTCTAACATTTTAAAAATACTATTTTCAGTTGCTCTGCTATTCACTGCAAACAATATTCTCAGACCTTACTAAATTTTCAAAAGACTCTGACTTTGACCTTTGACAAAATGTTCTCTTCAAGGTTTCATTTTTTAAATTTGTGAACATGTATTTAAATGAATTCCAAATAAATTCCATTTTTATTTCATGTGGTTCTTCAGTGATAAAGGAACGTTAAATAACATTTTGCATAGTTTCTAAATATGAATATTGTCCTTGTTACTTTAGGTAAAGTTGTACAACATCATTATGCAATATATATCTACACAATAAGTAAATATATTTAGGGTTTAAGTGATTGTTTTAGTGATTGGAGATCAGAAATCAATAGAGGTCAATGAGGACCACTAGCTGTAATCACAATATGAAGGGCTGGGGTACTATGGTGCTTGCAACTCTGTGGAGCTGTACACCTCCAAATGTATGGCGTTGCATCCTTTTTATACAGAAACCACACATTACAATGTCAAACTAAAATTGTTGACTCAAAAATCACAATTATTGTCAGCAGCATGGTTTTTTATGTTGTGGTTATTTTCTTAAATTGTTAAATCTCAACGTTTATGGTTCATGGTTGTGTTTATTTTCTTAAATTGTTAAATCTCAACATTTTTTGTTTGTGAACACCGCACTTCGCTTCTTCGTGCAATTCAATGAGATTATATCTTAATTGTTGCCCAGCACTAATATAAACACAGTAAACCCCAAACACAGTCACAGTCCCAGATCACTGACGAGACTGTTCAGCCTTCTGCTGAGTATCAAAACAGAAACATGTCAGCTTGCATCTGTCCCTTCCTTGTTGCTGCTGTGAAAACCTGTCACTGTGCAGCAGGGTACAGAAAGTGGCAAGAGATTTCAGACAAAGTTATAGTGAGTGGATGATGCTGTGTTTTGACAGGAGAAAAGAATCAGCAGTTTGTCAACTGGAGTCCGCATCTGTTTATCAACCCCCCTCCCCCCCCCCCCCCC